CAATAGCTTCCAGCTACTAGTAGTAATGCCCTTGTTACTAGTGGTGATGCCCTTGTTACTAGTAGCTTCTTGTGCCTAGTAGCGATGCCCTTTCTTCCTAGTAGCTTCTTGTTCTAGCATTAGTGTGGCTTCAACGTATATAGCTAAACAAGGGGTAAGGCATTGCAGAGTAGCGGACCTGTTCGCGTAAAGAACGGACCTGTTCATTCCTATCTTTGGGCGCTTCTTTTGAAAAAAAAGGCCCATATAAGTTTGCCTAAAAATCCAAGAACCAAATGATTAGCGTGAGCTATCCCACGTCCACTTACTAGTAGCTTACCTCCTTACTGAATTAAGTAGGTGCCGACTATATTAAGTAGTAGGGGGGGCAGAGCCACCCGGAAAAGAATCCTTTTGGTCGAACATCCTTGTTTTTTGTTTGCCGTTGGCAGGAGCTCAGTGAAGCTCGAGCAGCAAATTGCAGCCAAAGCAATCTGGGAGAACTCGCCCGGATGATGTGAACATCTTAGAGTCTTTCCTTCGCTATTAGAAACAAGTGCATCGCTACTAGTAACAGGTTAGGTTGGAGGCCATCCCTATTAGGTTGGAGGCCGTCGCTCTTAGGTTGGAGTTCCATCGCTCTTAGGGTGGAGGCCATCGCTAGTAGGTTGGAGACTATAGCTATATTAGAGTGGAGGGCATCGCTATTAGATTGGAGGCCATCCCTATCAGGTTGGAGGCCACCGCAAGTAGGTTGGAGGCAATTGCTACAAGGTGGGAGGCCATTGCTCCACTTGATGGGCTTTGAACATGATATGAAGAAGCTGCACATGACATGGAACATCGACGGAGTACTCCAATCAATGGCGATCAGGGGCTCTATTCTTCCGTGAATTACACTTAGGTACAACCCGCAGCACAAGTCCTTTCTAGACGGCATAGGCCTTGACTGTTTAGCAAGAGAGACAACAATATCTTATTGTTTAGGGTCTCTCTTGCTAAACAGTCAAGGCCTATGCCGTCTAGAAGGCACTTTTGTTGCGAGTAAGTGAGGAAAGCAAACAAGGAAGGAAAGAATGGCTAGAGAAAGGAAGGAGGGAGGGAGGGAGGAGGGGAGGGAGGGAGGGAGGGAGGGAGGGAGGGAGGGAGGGAGGAACAAGACTTGTAGAATTGCGTGAAGGTCTGGTAGCTGCAAATATTCCTGGAAGGTTTGATCTACCTGCTAAGGCCTCGGCTCAGGCAAAGCCTGGTGAAGGTGGAAGCGGAGCTGGCCAAGGTCAAGAACAACCTTGCCAAGGTCCGTTGGACAAGGGAGTGCTGAAATGAACAAACGCATTGAATGAAAAAACACTAGCTCAGAGGAAGTCGGTATGAGAACAGGTCAGTAGTTTTGAAAGGGCTTCAATCTTGGCCGCCTTGGCCCTAACGGGGCGTCAGTAGAACTGATGCTTCTGCAACAAAAAGCTCTTCTTGAAGGCCTGAGGTCTGGATGTGACCTGCCCCTTCCTACTGACGCCAGAGGCTTCATCAGATATTTTGAGGCCTCAAGATCTTCAACATCACTAAGTTGTTACATGTCACAAGTCACCAGGTCCCTTACAAGCCTTACTACCGGCAAGAAATCTGCTTTAGGCCCAAATCCAGAGTTGCAGCTTTCCTCGCCAGGTCAGGGCCGACGCTGTGCTTGCGAAGCAGCGGGCCTGGATCTCAAGTCCGCAGTGGAGCTTTTGTGGCTCCGGGTCGGAGTGGTCAAGAAAAGGCTTAGTGAGGCTCAGTGGCTTTTAGTGGCTTTTAGTGGCTTAGTTCCATGCTTCCGACTCAAACGTGGGGGGTACCAGTTTCGCTTGGAAATCTCAAGTGTCCGAAATTGTTCACGCCAAGCAATCCAAGTGCCAGGTCGAGGCAGTGGAAGCAGCCGCTGAGGCTGAGCAACGCGATGCAAGGAGCTTGAGAGCACACTTCACCGTTTTTGCCACTCTGCTCTCGGCTCTGAAGGGTTTTCTGCTAAGGCTCGGGCCTTTCAGGCTGCCTTGCCTGAGGTGCCCAGATTGGACGAAACGGTTTGGAAAGTTCCACCCAGTCGGACTGCGTAAATCAGAACTCCAGAATGCGACCTGGTTTCGATCACCTTTCGACCAAAAGGGTTCTTTTTTGGACAGACCAAGAAGCTACTAGGGGCTACTGGCATCGCTACTAGGAGCATTCTTACTGCTAGGAACAAGAAGCTGTTAGGAACAAGAAGCTACTAGGAACAAGTGCATCGCTACCAGAAACAAGTGCCTTACTAGTAGTAACAAGAAGCTATTAGAAACAAGAATCCCTTCGAACCGTCGAAACCGTCGAAACCCGTCGAAAGGCGATGGAGATTGTCACCCAAGCAGAAGATGCAGTCGAGTCCAACACTCAGCTCTAGACCAAAGAGGCGTCAAAAGCAAACATAAAGAAAGAAACACTAAATCGATCATATGATCATGATCTAAAAAAACATAAAGAGCACAACATACAATATAGTTATATATGTTGTATGCTTATTTACTGTATTTGTTGTTGTTTCTTCAAGCTCTTAGGTTGGAGGCCATCGCTAGTACATGCAAAAGCCAAGACCAGAGGGACCCTTGGGGCTCTTGCAATACTAAAAGACCAAGACCTACCTAGTGCTAGTGAGTTAAGACCTATAAAGCATTTGTTTGTTTCTTGCCCAAGAGTTATTGGACATTCCAGACTGCAAGACTCTGCAAGACTCTGCAAGACTCTGCAAGTAGCAGTGCAAAAGAACGCTTCACGCTTCGTAGGTTCTGAGTATCGAAGGCCAACACCTGGAAATTGCACAAGCAGAACTCATCCACAGATAGACAGACAAACAGACAGACAGACAGACAGAGAGATAGATAGATAGATAGATAGATAGATAGATAGATAGCGCGAACGGCGAGTCTTTGGAGAGAGCAAGGGGTTTCAGGGTTGGCATTCCATATCTGACTTGCTACTAACTAGTAGTGCCTGGTAGGGATAGCTGAGCCCAACACCCAACTACTTACAAGACTCTAAGATAGTTAAGATAAGTCTCCGGAGTATGAGCTACTTTGCAGATTGATGAACTCTGCAGGACTGTGGCGATCCTTGCAGCAGCCATGAGTGTGGATGACGAGACTGATACCAGCGAGGCACATCAAGTGCAGGCCATTCAAGACATTGAGACGCCCGCAGCCTATTGGGCCTAACGAGCAGGACAAACTAGGTCTGCAACAAACACGCAAAGCAAAGGTCTGCACTTTCAGCCTACTGAGGTCTGCAACTAAAGCTTCAGCTGATCTCTTGGAGGCCATAGTAGGCGAAGTTCATGCGGAGCCACCTCAAACTCGTGCTGGTCAGGCGAGAAAGCTGGTCTCCAATCGCTTGGGAGAAACAAAGCGCTTTGCCCCTGAAGCCAAACGTGTGGCAATGCAAGAATTCCAAGCTTCGACCTAAGCTGCGTAGAAACGATGTTGGAGCTCCAAGGTCAACTTAAATCCTCTTTACACAAAGGAGCTCCTTTTTTCGGCCTCCAAATGGCCTAGCGATGGCCTCCAACCTACTTTGCACTGACTGACAAGAGCGGTGTCACCGACTGAGGCCATGGAAAAGCGACTGGCCGAAGCGGCTAAGAGGCTGAACCCCTTGAAGCGTTTCCGGCAGGCGGGGTGCGCTAGGACCCTTTTTGAACGTTCTGGACACAGTCAAATGAAGAGAACAAAATGGCCTCAATGGCTTTTGAAGTTGGTGGCATTGGAGTTTACTGAGGAATTCGAGCAGAAAGCTGCAGCAAAGAAGGCTTTGCAAGAGATTCAAAACAAGCTCAACAGCTAGAGCCTCAAACAGCAGGACTTTCAAAGGTTCTATAGCGGCTTCTTGTGGATTTTGGCTCAAGCCCAGTTGTAAGATTAAAAGGTAGTAGCTTCTTGTTACTAGTAGGAATGATCTCCACCCTAGTAGCGATGGCCTCCCACCTAATCGCGATGGCCTCGAATCTACTAGCGATGGCCTCCACCCTGGTCACGTTGGATTCCACCCTAACAGCGATGGCCTAGTAGCTTCTTGCTTCTAGTAGACTAGTAAGGTTCTATAGCGGGCTTCTTGTGGTTTTTGCTCCAGCCCAGCTGTAAGATCACAATCAATCCAAGACTCTTGGCAAGTTGGAAAAGGTTTTCAGGGCTTCCTTGCTGGTAGCACAAAAAGGAAAGATCTGAAGGCGTAAAGAACAAGAGACGGTTAAAGTAGACTGAAGACGCCCCCTGGAAGGCCTCATCTTAGAATATCGAAACAAACACTCGCTCTTGCTTTTGGCACCGCAGTAAGGTGCAGAGCTCGAGATCGAAAAGGCTGGTCAGAATGTGAGCTGGTCAAAGCAGGTACTTTAGGGCCTCCTGGCATCGCTACTAGGAGCAAGGACGCTACTAGGGGCTCTATTTCAGGTACATGTATTTCATCCTTTCTCATCCTTTCTCCTATATATTTTAGTCTCTTTCTTTTTGCTTGGTACTAATGCCTTGGCTGTGATGTTTGGTTCAGCAAAGGGAGACCAACTAGGCATCAGGTCGAACGGTCGAACTTGGGATCCACAGTTTCGACCTCGTCTTTCGGAACAGTTTGAGGCTCACATCATGACGTCTTCAACTGACACGCAGATGGAACAGGCCAGTGAAACACGCAGAGAGATTCCCTTCGATCGGAGCAGCCTGGCCAACGACGTTCGTAGCTTCTGGTTCCGTTCGTTGCGATGGCCTCCAACCTAACAGCGATGGCCTCCACCCTAGTAGCTGCCGATTTTTCTCGAGAATGATCATGTCATGGTCATTGTTGACTCTTTGTGCTCAAGTGCGGGGGGTTACAGAGCCGAGCACAGGGGCTCAGCTTCGTTGTTCGCTCAGAGAGATGATATGAAGTTGTACGGAGCTGCCATGGGACAGACATGGCATGTCGCGATGCTGACACTAGTGTCACTAGTCGCTTCCAGCGCAGGCTTAGAGCGTCCAATTTGTCAAATGTCAGACGCCTTCACTACATCAGTTGATATGCATTTGAGAGACTGGGACAGTCAGATTGACTTTGCCCTGAATGAGTCATTGAATTGTTCAGATTTCTTGGAATATGTCTATTTGTCCAGGGATCGGATACGAATGCAGCTGGATTACGTGCGAGGCAACTTCTCAGCAGAGGATGAGGCATTTCGCTTGCAGGGTGCGGTTGGTGGATCAAGTGCATGGGCAATGACCCACATGTCGCAAGCTGCCTCCTTGCTTTCAGCGCACATTCACATCCATGGGATCTTGTCCGGAGCTCGTCCGGAATGTTTGAACGAACATTTGCAGCTTCTCTTTTTGATGAGTCTGCGACGAATGAAGCATCTCTTGCACTCCCAACTGCGTCATCTATGGCTGGTCTTCCAGGGTACCGCCGAATTGGTGAGACAGGGAGCAGGGAAATGGCTCAGTGAGGTGGTGGAGCTCTTCGAGGCCGACATCCGAACGTACGAGTCGATCATGGTGAATTGGCGCTCCAAGGAGGAGATCGAGGCCGATGGCCAAACGGACGGAGTTGGTGAGGGGAATTGTCAACACGGTTACTTTGTGACACACCACTTCCATTTTTTTGGTGTGGAGGGGTAGGAGAGGTAGGAGAGGTAGAAGGTGGGATCAGGCAGTTCCAAGGCAAGCTAGTTGCTAGCAAGAAGGTAGGTAAGGAAGCCACCAGTAGCGTGGTTCTTGAATGAAGCTCCTGTCCTTGTCCTGAGTAGTGAAAGAACCCGACAACCCCACGACTTGCGTGTTGAGCAATTGATGGTTCTGGTGCTTTTCTGTCAGGTTTCTCGATTTCTCGTGCTCTTTTGTTGCATGCCAGAAGTGTCTGTCGTTCCACCCCTGAACCATTTTCTGTAAACAGCTTGTGTGTCTGCAGCATTGGACACTTTCTTGAAGCTATGTTTTGGCATGCTTCGAAAAACGGATCTTTGGAAAGGAAAGGTTAATGTCAGAGCTTGGAAGCCATTGCTAGTAGGTTGGAGGCCATTGCTTCTAGGTTGGAGGCTATCGCTACTAGGTGGTACTCTACAGTCAGAGCCAGAAGGTGCTTGAATAACTCGTAGTACAGGCCAGGCCAGGGTGTCGACATGTCCTTCCCAGATCCCACAGGAGGCCATGCCGGCAATTTTGAGGGACAGAAAGGGAGGCGTAGTACATTGGAGGTGTTTGGCTTGGGTCGTAGTACGTTGGTGTGAGCGTTTGTTGAAAAGTGAGGATGGTCAGTTCTCAAAACAGCTCTCGTGCAAGACAACTCAACATCGCACTCTTCAACTGCTGTTCGAAAAACCTGTAACACAAGCGTCTGTGAGCCACATTTTGCAGGTGCTGGTTGAACAGTGCAGTTGTGCTTGAGCGCTTGAACCTGATGATTTGTTGTGCTTTTTTTGAATCTGTTGGATCAGCCGTTTGGCATCTCTTGCCAGTATATTGTACAATATAGATCTGGAGGGACAAGTCAAGCTTTTTTGTGAAATTGGAGTATTTCTCTTCTATTCTGCCCCATCGTCCAATTCTAAGTCCAGCACGACTCTGTGCTTGCCTTCTCAAGCAACCACCTTCTTGATCCTTCATCTATTTGTTTGAACTCTCAAGCATCTCCGTTGTCTTCTTCGACATTGGGTCAGTCTGCAAAGCTTCAACCCTGGAGGCTAATAGCACTGGCACGATCCCACTGAGGCCAGGTCCGCCGTTACCACCCTTTGATGTTCATGAAGCAGACGGGGTTGCTCTTTCAACCATCGAGGTGCTACGACGAGACACCTTTGAGGAGTGGAATGTGCCGAAACCCTTGCTGCGATCGCTGCTGCGCTATGTCTTGCCACGAGATAGCCAGGTGGCAGATTTCTGCGCTGGAGCTGGGGCTGCAGCCATCTTCCTAAATGATACTGGTCTAGTGAAGGCCTATGCCTTTGATCCATCGACCAACATCAAGTTGTTGAGCAAGAATGTGGTGGAGCAACTGCGACTGCACGCTGAGGAGATCAGACTTTGGACCAGTTTTGATGTGACCATGTGTTTGACGGATTTCGGCACCAGCCCGAAGGCATGGGCTCAGGTGTGGCAGAATCTGGAGATGAGCACCAAGAGAATAGCTATTCTAAATTGTGGAGAGAAAGAAACAAGACAACAGGCTATGAATGGCGCAGCAATCCATGCTGCAGCCTTGGCATACGACGAGCAGCTCAGTACTCAACTCGCTGAGATTCACCCAGGGATTTGCATCTTCTGGCGCCGCCCAGCATTGAGTTGAAAATGCGGTGATTCAAACATTTGACTATCAGACAGCTCGTGATTTGTTAAACCTTTGAGATGGCCCTGGCTGCTTGCTTCATCATGAAACAAACGACTCAACTTTTTCCTCAAGAACCTAGTAACAAGAAGCTATTAGGAACAAGTGCATCGCTTCTAGTAACAAGTGCCTTATATAGTAACAAGATCTAGTAACAGGTGCATCGCTAGTAGTAACAAGTGCCTTACTGGTAGTAACAAGAAGCTATTAGGAACAAGTGCACTTCGGGTTTAGTCTCTGCCGGAGGATGACATCACCTCCACCACACAGCTCCTGGGACCGGCAGAGGCTGCCATGGGGCTTGGGGCAATGTGCTTATATTAGACCTTTCTTCCTTTCATTGTTTTCTTTGTTTCTAATGGCAATGGCCTCCAACCTACTAGCGATGGCAATGGCCTCGACCAAAGTCCTATTCCGCAACTCTCCATTCTTCTGAAATGTTTCTTCCGCAACTATTCTTCAGAAACTATTCGCGATCTTCAGACACTTATTTGCATGCTTTAGAAAGTCTTCTTCAGAACTTTTACAATATTGTAACCAACTTGCATGAAGGAGCACTGGGTGGGTGGGGGGTGGGGGGTGGGCGGGTTATTGACGTACCTTGTGACGGCTACGGTATATAGTATATACATGCCGTTTTTACTAGGTGCAGAAACTGTTTCGTGCAGGCTTGATGTTGCTCTTCGACTCTTCCGAGTTTCCGAACATTAGTTTCCGAAGAAAACCGTAAAGTTTCCGAAGACTAGTTTTCAAAAAAGAACCGTAAAGTTTCCGAAGATCACCCTTTAACCCAATGGCCTCCAACCTACTAGCGATGGCCTCCAACCTACTAGCGAGGGCCTCCAACATACTAGCGATGGCCTCCAACCTACTAGCAATGGCCT